GGTCCTCCCCAAGATCGAGAAATATAAAAAAATAAGAAATGATCTTAAACAGCTCAAATTGTCACAGTATATAAAATCTCAAAATTAAAAAAAAAACTCTATTTTACTCTCAAGGTATACACTTGTTACTCATAGTGTATCACTAAAATAAAAGTCAAATATAACATGTTTTGCAAGTGCAAAGGCAAAAAAGAAAATTCTTTTCCAATTGCCAACCTATTTACCAAGTGAGCAGGGAAGACTTCTAAACACATTCTTACAAAGGAAGGCTACCAGCAGGCGTATTTGTAGTATATTTTGTGATATTAGAGACTACAAAGTTAACTTTTGAAATACATATTTTGAATTTTAGTACCAAATGCTAATGCAGATGGCATCAGATGTGTTCGCAGTAACCTCATACATCATGACAATGACAAAGATTTTCTATGTAACATCTTTGACCATAAAAATAGTGATATTATTGAAAGCATTACAAATTACCTGGGCTGGCAAACATTATAAACATTTAAAGGATGATTAATTTCTAAAAATAAAGTTAAGTAGAGCTTAGAAGTCAGTTTGTCTTTTTCACAATTAATAAAACATGACTTCATAAAAAATTATGTGATAAGATGTTATGTTGTAATTTTGTACTTTCTCAAGCTTCATATCTTGTAAGAGGTTAAAAATGACACATTAAATAGTATTATAACTGTAAAAATAGATGAATAATTAAATACAAATTACATAAAACATATGGTACTAAATATATATGCATTTGATCATTGTTTTGTCCCTGTTAAAAACTATTTATAATAATTAACTTCTTGAACATAAATAAAAGGCAGTTTAGCCTGTAAAGTTCATGAATATATATGAACACACATGCAACTCTGACAAAAAAAATAGATTTGCTGGAAAAAGTACACATGTGTAGTTATAGGAGAATTTTTGGAAATCCTGTATTTTTCTGCAAAAGTACCATAAAAAATACTGTCCCCCTTTACCCACAGTAAGTTCCAATGATTCTGTTTTCTATCTCTAATTGTGACACAGTTTATAAGTACAGTTTAATTAAGATGAGATGTAGTTAAAATATCTGAGCACCTCAATCATCTTTTCAACTCCGAATCCTTTGTGGCTTGGATGACATCCACTCCCCCAACCCCACCATGGATCAGATCTCCTAGTCCAGATCCTACACTGAACCACAGTATTGGTTTACTGACAATCAGGATGAGTCCCAGGTTCCCATGTTATCACTGGATTTTTGTCCTCCAATTCCCTTTTCTTCCCTTGTTCCCAACCACATCAATAGAACAAGAAAAAATCTTTTATCTTCATGCAACACTACATTAGTTAACAGCAAAGAACTAGCCATCTGCTCTAGCTGCTTCTCTTTACTTCTGCCAGGTGTCATTGTATTACAGATAAGGGTTTTATATCTGTACAGGAAGAGGGCACAGTCATGGAAAACAGAAAAAGAGAAATACAGAAGTACACAGAGACATAAAATATGGACAGATAAACACAGAACCAGAGACATTTCCTAATTTTAAATTGTGTGTGTGTGTGTGTGTATATATATACATATACATATATATATATATATACAACGTGGATGTACTAATTAATTTTGTTTTCTGGCCAGACTTTCTAGGATGATGTGGGAGATTATTCAACTAATATAAATATTACTCAGAATTAATTCTTTAGCTTAGTTTCTAATTTGACCCTTAAAGAAACCATGCAAAAAATGGATCACTGACAATTATATGCTACCAATTATGTACTACTACCACTGACAATTATATATTTTCATCACTGAAAATTATATACCATACTATTATATACTGACTGTTATATACTAAGCCTTTCTACATACCAGTTTGATAATTTTTTTTTGGTACTAGTATTAAGAAATTTCTGGCAAAACCTAAATGCTTAGGTTCAAGTAGTAAAACATTTCAATTCTCAGGATAAGAACAAGGATAATTATGCATTTTTCCTTATCTAAAACTGAGAATGTTAGTTCTATTTCAAGGTAGGTAAGGGTGATAAAATAAAATATAAAGATCTACCAAATGCCAAGCACTATGTTAGAAGCTGTACATGTATTATTCCATCCATTTCTTAAAATAACTGCATGGAGTAAGTGTTCATCTGTGCAGATGAAAAGTAGGCTTACACATTTTTAAGTTACTGTAAGCTTCTTGAGGAAAGAATTAAGGATTCTTTATTCACTACCATATCTTTAGCAGCTAGCACAGTTTTCTGGCTCATAGTGGGTGATAAATATGTGTCAACTAGTTTACCAAGTAACAGTGTTACAGAGCTGGTAGAGGGCAGAGCTAAAATTTTATCTCAGGTCTGTCAGACTCAAAGGCCAGTCTGTCTGTGTCCAGAACACAGAAGAGGCAGGTGCTTTAGCTTTCTGCCTCACCTGCTCCCCAATGCCCAGGAGAGTTGAGGTGGGATTTGCTGTAGGGAAAAATGGCCTTGATAGGAATTGATCAGCGGCATTAAGACTAGAGCTCAATAAGCTAGGTTCTTCATTTTCAAGCCTCTCTGGGTCTCATGTGTAACTTTAGTCAACTTCCTTTGCCACTCGGTACCCCAATAACTTTACTATAAAAAGTTAATGATGATGATCATAATAAATAATATTAAAACTAGGAGAATATTGTGAGAATTAGTTGTACCAATACACCCGAAGTTTATGGCGATAGAATTAGTAGTCATCATTATTATTTACTCTGGAGGAAAGGCCAGCAACTCAGGCCATACCCAGGAAAGTTAATTCTCTGTGGACTGGAGGACCAATGAAGCTGGGCATCTCAACAACAGTAGGGCAAGGAGATGCTATCAAGGGATGATCTGGAAACAAGAGTAGTTCTATAACTGAGACATCCCTTTTGACTCAATCCTGTAAGGTTTCAAGTTATATGGTATTCCTCTCAACCAGGACCAGTGGGGACTCCAAAAATGTCCATCCTATTAGATTTCAGCACTGATCAAAGGTACACATGTTCCTGTTTATGAGCAAGCTGGGTTCCGAAAAGCTGTTCATGTGAAGCCCTTTACTTGTAAGTCCAAAGTGGTATCACAAAGGCAGTGGAGAAAGCCTTCCATAGAAAGCAGACAAACTGAGTTGCATTTTCTCCAGTGCAAAGTGTTAAAATATTTACAACAAAGTAATAAAAACAAAGTTTCTAAGTAGAAGCTTCCATATTGTTTAGTCTCATACGGTTCAAAGTCAAGATAATATAAAGTAGTTCATGTAAAATGGGAAAAAAATACTTTTGTTTTTAGCCAAAAATATTTTGTATACCAGGTCAATATTATATGTGCCCACTTAGGAGTTTTTAAATACTTCTCAGTGTTGCTTGGAGAGACTCTGTGTGTGTGTGTGTGTGTGTTTAATACAGATCTCAAGACCCATGATCTAAGGCTCAGCCATGTTTTGGGCCCACTGAAATACATAGCAGGTGTCAGTTTTTGAAGACCAGAAATTTCACCTCTGACAAGAGTCTTTCTTACAATGCCTGATTCTGCCATTTTTTAACCTACCTTACTCTAATAGTGTATTTTAAATTGACTTTTTAAACATGCATTGTACATATACATGGAGATTTTTTCTGAATATCAACATCAAATGAAACAGCTCTCATGATTAGCTAATTCCTGGTTGTTAAAACTTACTGGAACAGAAATAAACTGGAGAGGCAGACAGTATAATGAATGAAATTAACATGTTCAAGCGCTTAATAGATATTAAGTCATGCACTGTGCTAGATTCTTTACTTATGCTTTTTACTTAATCCTCAAAATAACCTTAAGTGAGACATTTTTATAACATCAAAAAGCTAATTAGAATCATCTTGAGATATACTGATAATTAGAAAGCACTTGTTTAAAGTGACAGAAATCTTGTATTGTCCCATACCACAAAATATTATACATGCCCAAGTACATGAATGTATAAATGCTGCACTGGTATAAGAATTAAAGGGAAATTTTGACAAATTTACATTGTTGGTAAAACTAGGTGGTAATGTAACTAATTTTTTTAAAGCACTATCTCATAGTGATTTGTTAGAAATAAATGTGTTAAAATCAGGGCAACTTTAGGGGAAATGTCAAAAGAGGCAAGTAATTTTATCCAGTTTTTTGACAGCAGAATGCAATTCATGTTGAAATTATGAATATGAGCCAAATTTAGAATCGCATCACTGAAAAATAACAATAGATTTCTGTAGTCAATTAAAAACCAAAAGTGAGCTAAAGGGGCTAAAAATTCATTTCAGCTGCTTCATACACTATAATATTCTGAGACCTCCTAAGCAGTGACAAATACACCTGTGCCCCTTTTTCTTTGCTCTAATTACCATTAACATATGAGATAGTGATTATAATATGCCATTTTCATCTTAGTATAAAACCAATAATAATTAGTACAAAATTTTTAATTGGGAAAAAGAAACATACATATAGACTTTAATTTGCCAACTTTTAGAGAGATTCATTGAGTACCATACTAAGTGGCACATAATTTGTCTTGTTTATTTATTGAATAATTATATATTCTATAAAATTTTCCAAAGGAGTTACTTCTTGATTACTTAATTTGACAGTAGATTTTTGGGCTGTTTTCTTTCAAATGTGCACACTTACTATATTAAAAGTGATATTTAACTACAAAAATAGGTAAAAGAAAAAATTCATAATAAATGATAAGGTTAATAATTTAGATTAATTTAGATCCTTAAGAGTGGTAAAACAAAGAATAAAACATGTAAAATTTATTTTAAAAAACCTTTCATTGTACATACATTTCAAATGGTACTTTAAGAAATCAAAGTCATATTTATTGCAGCTTAAGGTATATAACTTACTGCTATTAATATATGGTAGGCAAAAGCTGCAAAATCATAGAGCAAAGATTTAGAAGGAAGGGTCTAGTGTGAAAAACTGGGACAACATTAAGCACCACACAAAAATCAAATTAAAGTTCTTACCGTGAACAGTCGGTGCTAAGAGCATCATGCAGACTAATAGCTGTGATGGCCACATGGTTGTGTACTTGGGCATGAGTGCCTCAAGAGTGTGCCAGACTTGAAATGAAATAAATGTCTTTCTGATTCTTCTTCTGTATTCCAAGACTGATGATTAAAAAAAAAAACTCAAAAAGAAATATTCCTCAGAAACAGAAACACCAATATCCCAAATCTGAATCCTATAAACAAGAAAAAAAAAAGGGTTATCAATTACAGCAGTTTTCTTATTACCTTGAAAGTTTCTTTCCTGACTAGAGCATCTTTATACCTCCTCTCTTCTTCATTTTAACGAATACACGCATTAAATATAAAAATGAGTAAGTAACCTAAAGGACATTATTTATGCATGAATTACTACAGTGCTTATTTCCCAGTCCCCACACTGACTGGAATGAATAATCCAGTCATACTGGACAAATTAATATGACTATCCAATATTATTTTATATAATAATAATTAATTTCTATAATTTATTAATATGTTTAAATAGATCTGGTACTTATTCTGTAAACATTTTCCCAAATATAATTGTTACTAATATTAGAAAGGTAAAAAAAAATCATTCAGTATCATTACTCTGTGTTTAAACAAAAAAAGTTAAATAAATGAGTCTTACTTTCATTCCAGGTCCTGATAATCACTCAGAAAATATTCTACATATTAATTATATTACTGTTCTAAATATCTTTGTAATTACACTTGTGAAGATCATAGATTTATGTTGATTAATTATGCTCAACCATAATCAATGCATTCAACATAACTTTATTGAGTGCCCACTGCAATACAAAGCACCAGGCTAGGAACATAGGATAGAATAAAGAATAAAACACACAACCTATTATCCAGGATCCTACAACTTAAAATGAGGAGTCTTGCTTAAAAGTGTTGAATATATATGGAAGACATTAAAAACCTTCAGCATTAAAGCAGTTTTACTGAACCAAACTGATACAGCTGCTTGCAAAACGATCTGTACAGACTTGTCCTAGGAAGTGAAAATAGTGAAGGAACCTGACCCAACTTTTGAAGATGTTGTCTTTCATAGCATCTTTAAAACTGATTAACCAACTATACACTGGGACTTCCTTCCTTTTCTTTCTTTTCTTCTCTTTCTCTCTCCTTTCTCTTCTGGTGGCTTATATATATTTAAAATAATTTCATATTTTGGTACAAATTTAAAATTGTTCTGGAAGGGGATATTCAGAATAGAGTTTACTGTGGATTATATTAATAAGCCACGTTCTAAAGAAATACATTCCAAAATATTTAACTGCTTGTCTTCATTATAAGACAAAATTACACAGACTTATCTGAATTTCTGGCATTGTTATTCACAGCATGGTAATTAAGAGCACACATTCTGAAGCAAGACCACCTAATTTCAGTTATTAGCTGCACTAGTACTATGACCTTGGGCAAATCATTTAAACACTCAGTCCTTGGTTTCCTATCTGTTAGTGGTGAGAGAGTAATATTACTTAATTCATATGATTATATGGACATTTAATGAACTAAAATTTGTCATTTTAATTATATAAAATATGTAAAAATATGCACTGCCCACAATAGTGTCTACTATGTGATAAGTGCTATATGTCCTAACAATTATTATGTATCTCATCAGTTTTTACTTTTATCCTACTCATATTCTTTAACATGGATGTGTAAGAAGCTAGATAATTCAATCCCAAAATACTTACTGAGTCACTATTGTAAAGACTGGCTCAGAGAATACTAAATTTGGAAACAACAAATCAAATAATTTTCTTCCTAATCTCACAGATATTATAAAAAAAAAAGCTCATAATGGACACTTTCATAACACTTAACAAATAGAGAAAGAATTGACAAGAAAAAACTGATTGAGATAAAACAAATTCTGTGAAAATGATTCATAAGCAGCATTTTCCTTTCATTTTCTTTATTCACACTCTGACTTACTAGAAAATATTTAGAATATTCTTAATTGCCACAAATGCTATATATGTAAAACTCTTTCAGAAAATAAATTTGAAAGCAGATGCTAATTTAAAAGTGCATTCTTTAACATGCATGTAACAATTAATAGATACTTATAGATACTTAAAATGACTGATGCATCAACAAGTAAAGAACTGCCCCCATCCCTCAACACTCAGTTACTGTCCTTTTTTTCCTCTGTAACTACAGCATCAAAAGACATGTGTATACACACTAACATATGCACAAACACAGACACATATGTATGTCAGATAAATATATACAGAACTATTTTGCAACTGAAAAAAACTGAGGGCAGGCATCTAGGTGAGTTATTTATTCATTATTTCAAAAATACATACTAAATATCTACCATGGTGGGTATTACTAAGATTGCAAATTACTAGAACAATTTTTTTCACAACTCCCACTGTAATGCGAAAAACAGAACACAGTAAATGAAGTCTCCATATAAAGAGAAGAATTAACATTTTTTTAGTTCGTATCATATGCCAAGCAATGTTCTAGATGATATTATACGATTATGTGATTTAATTCTCCATACACATCTATAAGGCAGATGATACTGTCTCCTGTTTACCGAAGAGGAAAATCAGACACGATACTCAGCAAGAATTTCAAACCAAATGTCTGACTCCATCATCAGTGCTCTTTCCTCTCTCTGTGGTAGAAACAAACAAGAAAATGTAAGAGAGTGATTAGGGGTATTAATTATGCAAAGGAAGGGGACAAGGTAGCAAGTTTCCAAGGAAGACTTAGGCCTTGCTTAAATACGTTACTTGATCGTGAAGAGTGAAGAATAGGAGGACAGCACAGATAAATGAGGTAGGCGTGGAGGGACAAAGAGAAAGGGAAGAAAGACATGTTCAAAAAGGAAAACAGCCTAATTACAGCATTGTACCTTTGGAGGAGCCAAAAGATTATCTCCATGATGAAACAGGAGTATTGCTATTGTCAACTTCAGTCTGGCTTTAGTGAAAACCAGAACCATTTATCTCATATGATATAATATATTTTCACCTTGATGAAGCAATGGGAGAGGTTACTTTAAAGAAAGAATAAGAAAATGCTTATCTATTATTTGTAACAATCGCTTATTTTAAGATAGCACAGCAGGGCATAAAACCATGGTACTAAGATTATTCTGTATTTGATTTGGGCATAAAAGTTTGTTCTCATGACGACTGGAAACAGAGGTGGGGAAAGGAATTCAGATGAACAGAAGCTATTATATGAGGAGGGTAACATGTCCTCACACTCTAGCCTCATCCCTAACCCGATTTCTCACCCTATACAGCCCCAAAATAACGTGCTAATTCGGGGGTATATTTAATAAAATTGTAATAATTAAAATACATACATTTTAATAAATAATTTGTAAGATGAAATTGTTCATAACCTACAGAAAGATAAACCACCACTCTCTAAATGTTAACATAAAAAAAGAAAGAAAAGTTTCTGGGATGATTTTTCTCCAATTTATGTGTTGTCATTAACTTCACCAAACCAATCGGTTCTCATACAAAAGGGATTTTCACTCATTTCTGAAATATAGCTCTTCAAAACATAAAGAAAAAAAAAACAAGAAAAGACATTAGGGACTCATTAAGTCACATATGACAAGATAATTACTCATAAAAAGATATACCAATGATATAAAGCATTTAACAAGTCAATTTCAACACGTTTCCATTTCCAATAAAATTTCTTTAGCCTCCTCCACGTACAAGCCCTGCACTAACACTATGGTCAAGTGAGGAAGCGTGGCTATATGTCTAAAATAGGATCACCACTGTAAAACAATGTGCAGTAAAACATGGATGCTAGAAGGTATAGTCACCAATAATTATAGTGCTGTGCAAAATGTGTTATGTGTTCCATGAGATGTTCTAGAAACACACAGTAAAAAACTGCCAGACTTTCTTTTGTGTGTAACAGCAAGAGATTTAAAAGCATGCAGACTGAATATTCTGGTGCTGGTCAAGTCTGCAAACTTCTCTGAATCTCAGTTTCTTCAACTATAAAAGAGAGAATAATATTCCCCTTGTAGGTAGATTGTGAGGATTAGCGATAACGTAAATTATTGTCTGATGCAGAGATGTCATGTGATTGTACATGCCTGTTAATGCATGTCTCTCATTCACCAATTCCTTTGTTTCCTTAATTCTCTCAATATTGACAAATAGACCATTTGCCTGACTCCCATCTGTCTCACTTACAAATTCAGGAAACTAATAACATACTCTCTTTGAGAGAAATGAACACTCTCCTAGAGAATTCTATGCATACTCTCCTTGAGAATTCCAACGGCTGAAAGATGGATACTAAAATAATGTGAGGGTCTATAAAAAAGGATTTTTCTGTATGCTTCTCTTCTTTAAAATATATTTTATTATTTAAGCTAATAGTTTCCATTAATAAATTAGCATATTAAATGATTTAGAAATTATTATTGAAGGATGATGTTTCTAAATTTTATCAAAGATTATCACAATATGGGGAACATTTTTGCATGGTACCCCGTCTAAAACTTGAAAGGAATATATTTCTAGTGTAGACCTTGATTTGGTACTTGGAGTTTATATGTCCTCCAACAAAACTATCTAACTTAACTTCACTACTCTTCACAATATTCAAAATTTAAAAGTGAGGTTGATTAAAGCATCCTAATTTATACTATTAATATTTAAGATTATAATTATGAAACTGTGTAATTTGACTCAAGTTTCACTAAATGTTAAAAAAATCACAACATGGAAAGATAATCTATAAATGTTATATGTAAATAAAGTCTTTGATCATAAACTACATGGAAAATTCTTTACATTACATTTAGACTAAATTCCATTCATATTTAGCACAATAATTTTGAGAACATATTTAAATTTTTTATTGCTGAAACAAAATTTCTTCTAAATTTAAAACATCGATATTTTTACTTTGGGGAAACTCTTTCCTTAAATTCTGGTGTCATAATTCATTTTTCCCATTTAATTTTTTCATATACCCTTCTCAAATCATATTTGAAAACTTCCATTTTTATATTTGGTTTCTTTCTACACTCTAAAGATTAGTATTAGAATCTGAGTTACAAGTCGTCCTGGAATTGTTACTTCTATTTCAGCTGCTCTTAATCACATGTCTATTAGACAACTTACTCTCAATCTCTTCCCAAAGTAAATTGCATGTTATCATTATACCTTCCTCCTCATAATAACCTAGACAAGATACTATAATAACTTT